CTGCCATTTGCCACAACTTGGATGGACCTCGAGATAATCATGCTAAGCAAAATAAGCCAGACTAAAAAAGTTGAAAATCACATGATCACTTATATGTGGGATATAAACCTAAGAGCAACAAAGGAACAGGACAAACAGAGACTCAGGGACATGGACAATGGACTAGTGGTTACCAGAGGGTGGGGGTTGGGAGAGGAGGGAAGAGGTAGACAGGGTAAAGGGGGTCAAATATAGGGGGTTTAGGGAGGGTAGAGTAAAGGGGATCAAATATATGGTAACTGAAGGAAACTAGATTTTGGGTGGTAAACACACAATAGGATATATAGATGTCAAATTATAATGTACACCTGAAAATTATACAATTGTATTAACCAGTGTTACCCTAATACACTTAAAAAAATTAAAATAAAATAAAAAAGGACACTTCCATTCAGGAGGGTTTTATCCCCCATAACATAATCACCTTCCAAAGGCCCCACCTCCTAAATAGCCTCGCCTTGGGGATTAGGTTTCAACATAGGAATGGGGGAGAGGGGAGGTCACATTCAGACCATAGCAACGTGCTTCTGTTCACATACCCCTCTTCTAGACCATCCGATTCAGGCTTTTCATTTCCCCCTCATCGACTCTATTTACATACAAGATGGCTAATTTTCTTATTTCTCAAGGGCAAGCCAGGTGCTCCGTTTCTCTCATGCACACTAAGTGCAGGTGGCTCACCAGGCCTCAGAGAAGGGAGTGCTCTCTGCACAAATACAGTCCCAAATCCCACAGATCCCACGCCTGGGGCCCTTGGCTCCTCCTAAATCAACCTACCCTGACCCCACCTCATTCCCCATCCCCCATCCTCCACTGTGGCTCCGCAGGAAATTGTTGCTCTGGCTCTGTTTTGTGTTATTGCAGATCACAAAGGCATCCAGGAAAAGGCTGACGGTGAACCTGGCTTACTCGGAGAACCACCAGATCCGCGTGTCACAGCAGGACTTCAGGCTGTTCCGCACACTCTTCCTGCTCATGATCTCCTTCTTCATCATGTGGAGCCCCATCATCATCACCATCCTCCTCATCTTGATCCAGAACTTCAAGAGAGACCTGGTCATCTCGCCGTCACTGTTCTTCTGGGTTGTGGCCTTCACGTTCGCCAACTCAGCCCTAAACCCCATTCTCTACAACATGTCACTGTTCAGGAACGAATGGAGGAAGATGTTTCGTCGCTGCTTCTTCCTGGAGAAGGGAGCCATGTTTACAGACACGTCTCTCAGAAGAAACGACCTGTCTATTATTTCTAGCTAATTGATTTTTCTCTATAGGCAGAGTTTGTCACTCTCTGGCAAGCCATGCATGGTATGTTTTCAAAGGGTGTTAATTTCCAGGACCATCACACCAGTGTACCATAAGAAAATGTAATCTATGCAAACACCCACTGACAGCACTAGTAAATTAAGGGGTGATCATTCAGTATACGAATTTTATCTTTTATAAAAGGCTTTGTTAGGGGTTCCTTTAATATGAACTTTTTCAGTGTGTTTGTAATATGATTGAATTTAATAAATTTTTATTTGTAACTGTTCAGCAATCACATCTCCTACATACAAAGCCACACCTTGCTGGTTTCTGAAGTAAGTCTTGGAACCCGTCAAGGACCCAGATTCCTCTGCTGAATAGTCACAGTCATTCTAGGTCCCCACCCTGGACTTGCAAAGCCTCAGGATCATTCATTAACGTCAAGAACACTTGAGGAATTTTCAAGGAATCATTAAAGGTAACTTTTTTTTTCATTTATAAGAAATTCTATGGACTCCTTTAGGAGATGCAGTGTCATGAAATCTGAGCGACAATAGGGTGACTCCAAAACGGGGGTTGCGAGAAATGATGTTGTGACATACTTTGGGAAAGTGGAGCAAACATAACTTATTGATGGACAGGATGTAGAATGTGAGGAAAAGAAGATTTAAGGGTAACTTCTAAATTTGTAGCCTGACACTGGTTGGATGGGAGGCAGGCAACAAAAATGTGGGAAGGCTGGTGGGGGAGAGCCAAGAGTTTCATTTAGGGCTTGTAAGTTTGAAATCCTAGGGAGATCCAAATGCAGAGTAGGCAGTTAGATGTGGGGATGTGGAGTGTGGGCCTGAAGATAGAGTGTTGGGCATCATTAGATTGTGTATACGGGCCTGTCCCTGGGAAAGGAGAGAGCGAGAGAAGAAACCAGGGCCAAGAGAACCCAAGGACATGCCAGCACATGGAAGTCAGGGCAATGGCTGGAATGCACAGTAGCTCAGGGCCTGGCACATAGTAGGAGCTCAACAAGTCTTCGTTGCTGAGTAAATTAGAGCCAGTAGTTGCCATTGTTTGTGGCGTTTCATGAGTAATTTCTTCTGAAGTAAGATTTATGGTGTTCACAAGCTCAAGAACAAGAGGACAGGGATGTTTCGGTCATCTTTAGTTAACAGATTGAGTGAATTAAAGCTGTACTTTGAACTGTGTGGCCATCTTATGGATCTCTGGGGTTCTCAGACTGAAGCTGAGGAGCCTCGCTCTGACTGCCGTTCTGTGTGGTGACAGGCAGAGCTTTCCCATATATGGTCACCTGTCTCTTCGCTCTTTGGTGGGAAAACAAGCACATTGGGGAGGAGGGGGCGGGCCAGGAGCCTCCCATGGGCCAGCACCCAGGCAGAGATGCCCGCACATATGGGAGAGAGGTGCTCTTCTCCACCTCCCAATACATTTCATAGCTGTCAGCGGGGCATTGCCAGTGTTTGCACAGCTCCGAAATGCTCTAATTGAGTCCTTACTGCATCCCATCCGAAATGCTCTAATTGAGTCCTTACTGCAGCTGTCAGCGGGGCATTGCCAGTGTTTGCACAGCTCTGAAATGCTCTAATTGAGTCCTCACTGCATCCCGTCAGGCAGATACTATTTCCCTATATTTCACGAGGGAAGAGTGAGACTCAGAGAAGCCATGTAACCAGCCCCAGATCATACAGCCAATATAAATCTGAGCTAGATTTTGACTAAAACCAAGACAGGCACCAGAGCCTGATTTCTTTTCAAGATGAGAAACTGAGGCAAATGGCTTTGCATGCAGTTATATACTAGCGTTCACAAATGCTGCTGGTGGAGTGGGACACTGGTGTTTGCTCCAATCCGGGCTACTCCCCAATCTCCTTCCTGCATGCTCCAGGTAGGGAGGGGGCCACAATCTTCCTCCAGACCTGGCTTCCAAGGGTCCCATGTCCCAGTTCCCCCAGGGAAGCCCGAAGCCTATTCTGCTTTGACCTTTGGCTACATCTGAAGTAAGAAGTGGATTAAGAGCTAGAAATAATGAAGGGCTGGAGGGTGTTTACTAGAGCTCGCCCAGACTCATGCCTCTCAGCCTCTCAAATGCAGCTGAGTGAGCCACCTGTCCTTTCCACCTCATGGCCCAGGGCTGACTGAAGCCTTGGGCTCACTGGCCTAGCCTACACTCACCTGCTCATTTGGCCTTGGTTCCTTGTCCAGCAGTTAAAGCCTTTCTGGGTTAACGGGAAACACTTTTTCAGGAAGTTTGGAGAAGGAATAGCCATTAATAATGGAGATTCAGCACTAGAACAGGCCAAGGGTCATAAAGCCCAGGGAGAGAAGACCCTACTCTACTATCTGCAGGACTTCTCACTTTGACACACATGTGGACACAAATAAAAACCCAAATCATAGGAAACGGGTGACTATATTTTAATAAATCAAAGTCTGGAATCCGAAGCTTCAAATGATTCTGTAAAACCTCAGTAAAGACATACATCTGAGTGCAAACAGTCACTTATTTCCACATATATTTTTATGTGTAGCAAAGGTTTTATGTCTCCTGGGGGAAAGCGGGGAGAGAGGGTCAAACTAAACTGAGATAAATAGAGTTGAAGACTGAGTGAGAGTTAGTTGGAGGTCTTCAAATGAAACCTGACATCCTTGATACTGCTACAAAATGTTTCTTTCTGATTTGCCATCACAGTAACCTGAAATATAGAAAACAAAGCCGTTAATAACAGAAAGATGGACCTAGTGTTTAATGTAGATTATGAATGCCATGATGGCCTCAGGGCTTGGCTTTATTCAAGTACTTCTTGTAAGGTTATAGCTAGATGTGGCCATAATTCATCAACATCCTCAAGGCTGTTTCTGCAACCCTCTGAATTTCTCTGGGGGCTGAGAGGATAGAATCTGCTGTATGAAACAATGTGCTTTTTGTCTTTAATTTGCCTCACTGCATTTCAAAGAGTTGAGGCACATCCTCCTATTTCAGAAAGTGGAAGCCAAGTCGGCCTGATCTCAGCCACTCTTAGTGGTTTTATAGAATGTTCACCATGTCCTGCACCATGTATCACCAGGTGATACCACAAGGGGCTTCAGTGCCACAAATAAAAACAAAACAAAACTTCAGTTTGCATCCAACTCAGCTACTTATTGTAGATCTTGGGCAACTTTCAGAATCTTTCTTAGCCTTTGTTTTCTCATCTGTAGACTGTACATAGAAGAGTATCTATTTCGTAAGATGTCTCTAAAGATTAAGTGAGATAATGCAGGCGAAGAGCTTGGCCTGGAGTCTGTCTGTGGCGAAATCCTTTACCGCCCTTTCATTTAGGCCACCCAAGGGTAAAACATCAAAATCTACTGATTCATCCTTTTGGTCTAGGTTCATATCTGTTTGGTGTAGTGTAGGTCAGCTGGTTAGAGGACCAACAGAAAAGTTCAGTTTTGTTCTCTTTCTTTCCTGCATTTTAGTATTACCCAATTTGGATTTTGAAACGTAGTTTCCCATGGGAGTGAGTGAGTGTCAATTCAAAATAGAAAGGACACTTTCCTCCAAATACGCTCCTGGTTTTTAAATCGAGATCAGATGAGGGTAATATCCATAAAAAGATCCAACAGTTATTCCAAGGAATCTCAAAAAATATAAGTGAGGAAAGTCATCTAGTCATTTTAATGGTTATACGGTTCCCTTAATAGAGAAAGAGCATTCGTTGAAATCTTTCTGTTTTGAACTTGCTATAGTGATGTCTCTCTGTAAGTTTTTACACCAATGGCCATATTTGCTGCCTAGTTCTTCATTAGGGCCACTCGATCCTTAATAATATTAATTCAGTCAACATGTTTTTTTGGGGGAAATATAGCCAGGGGCAAAGCATGTGACCAAGATAGCAGAAAAAAAAAGGAAGAGCATGTCCCTTTCCATTTTACTTAATTAAAAGTGTCACGGTTTTGGAAAATGGTCTTTGTCTGGTTCTTCTGCATCAGCCTTGTGATAAGGCCAGTGAAAGACCTAGTCAAAAAGGACCAAGACTTGGGCTTAGAGGGGCTCCCAAGGCCTCCTAGTTTCTCTTGCATGCAGATGAAATGCATGTCACTGGCAAGTGACCCACTGACCCCTCAGGGAGAGCAGGCTGCTGTCCCGCTCCTGCCTGACTTCCCACTCACCATTGTGCGAGATCAGCCTGTACTGCCTGGCTAGGCACAGTTCCTCCTGCCTCCGCCTCACGATTCTCTGCACGTCTGGGGGCAGGCCGTGGGGGTCGCGGGCAAACACGAAGGAGTAGCTGTCAGCACAGGTGCCATCAAGGTTCAGGAGGCGGCAGGAGTACTGCACAGCATAGGTGTCATAGTCCGTGTCGATGATCCAGTGGTCATCGTCTGCAAACCAGAAAGCCAGAGCCAATGCCTCTCCCTCAGCAGGCTCAGACGTCAGGGAAAATCACTATCAAGCCCGAGAAGCCAGCGACTTCCTGAAACTGGTTCATTTTGTTAGGAAGCAGGAGATCACAGACAGTTTGAACAGGTTTAATAAAGCTAAGACAACGAGAAAGGCTTTTGTTCTCCTTTACAGGAAAAAAGCCCTGGAGTTGGGGAATCTCATTCACTCCAATGATTATCTCACCCTGATGATAAATGTAATATCATCTTTTCAAAGAGCAACCAAGAATGTGGGCCCATCAAAACCACAGAACAGGCATTTCTACTGTGTCTTCCCCACCTACCCTCCAACAATATCTACGCCTTTGTGGCTGATGTCTGACGGATACCCACTTATGTTACCCCCAAAGTCAGCATGCATCTCTTGCAATGGTCTATATCAGCTAGTTCCCAGTCATCTCAGTAACCACTCAGCCTTCCTGCCTCTCAATCTCCTGGGGGATGCTACCCTGACGATCTGGCTCACGGTTTTTCTGGCTCCATCCTAATTCTGGTTTAGCGACCAATCCACCTCTTCAAGCTGACAAAAGAGTAGTTTTTGCCTTAGGGCACAAGATGCCCACCATGCTGCATCAGATTTTCTTTTTTAGTGTTTGTACTCTTTTAGAACTCCCCTGATAGAGGCAGAGCGGAGCCCTTAAAGATTTGATTGCATGTATTCCTAAGGCTGGGTGGGATGTGAGCCATGAAGAATAAGTATAAATGAAGGTGGGAAAATGCCAACAAAGGCAGGATGGGAAATAACAAGAAAGTATGTGAGAGATCTGCCAGGAAGAAACAACAATGCTCAGGTTTGTCCAAATATCTTATATTTGGTAAAAAGTGCCACATTTCTACTTAATTTAACATTTTCGTTGACATGTAACCATGACTAAGACTTTCTGAGCACTTAGTTATGTGACAGTCATTGTGCAGATACTTTCCATATTTTCTGTTATTTTTCACATCGACCCACAAGTGCACACTATCATCCCTATTTTATAGATGAAGAAACTGAGGCACAGAGAAACTAAATAATTCACCCAAGATCCAAAAGAGCAGAACTGGGATTCAATCTGATTCCAGAGCCCACAAGCCTAACCTCTACCCCAATAAGTAAATCGGGGGCAGAGGAGACAAAAAGCAAGAAACAAAAAGGCTTTGCATCTCCATCTCACGCCCAGTCGTGAAGCAAGTGATCACCCCTGCCCTTATGGTGTGCTCCACACTGGAGGAATACAGAGGTACCTGCATCTCCCATCATTAGAGGGTCTAAAGTGGATCTCTAACTTTTGGCCTGTCACCAATGGTGTGCCTCTTGGCTCTGAGAATCCCTGAAGTGGCAGCTTAGTAGGGATTCAGCTCTAACCCATGCCCTGCAAAAGGGCTGCACAGGAGTGGGTGGCGGAGCCCCCTTTTCAGCTCACTCCAGGCCTACCAGGAAGAAGAATGAGCCACCCTGCACCTCACAGTGCCAGAAGGAGAGTGTCAGAAGCCAGGTGGGAGTGCCCAGACATATGACTGCTTAGTAGTGGTCATGCAATTATTCAGCAGCAGAGCCAGGAACAGAAGCCATGGGCCCCACCCTAACCACCAGCTCCCCTCACAGGCTCCTGAGCATCTGGGCAGAGTCTTCCTCCTCTCTGAATGAAGTCATGTCTTCCGTGGTTATGGGGCTCACTGTGTCAGTCACAGGTACCCCAGCAACCTACCCTCATAGATACAAAAGCCTTGTCCTTTGAAATGTGACCTCAATTCATGATTCAGGCAGCTATTAGCTTGGCAAATCTGCAGCTTTATCTCTCCATGCCCAGAACCGTAGACAAAATGTGAATGCTGACATAGGTACTAAGTAACTTTCGATGTTTGGTTTTAGGAAAATTCACTACAGTTCTTACTTTAAAAAATAAAGGCCTAAATTGGTTTGGTTTCTCTCCAAGCCCTTTTTGGCTAAATAGTGCAGAGATGAAGAATTTAAATTGTCACAATCTTTATCCAACTCTCCCTCCCAAAACAAGAGATGAACTGCCTGAGAGCTGCTAGAAAGAATGAGCTCAGGCCTCCAACCTGCTCACTGCCAGCAGCTAGGGTGGGTCCCTCCGGAGAGCCAGATACTCCCAAACATTTCTGGATGGCAGCTATTTGCATGAAGTAGAGCTAGGGAGAGAGAGTGACGGAGGCAGCGGCCGTATGGCTGGGAGCCCCACGCCACTCCACCATCCCAGGAAGTGAGGTTATACTGCTGCTGTGTCTACACTATACCTACACGGACTGGTTTAGAGGTTTTGATTTCCCATCCAAAAACAAACAGTCAAACAAACAAAACACTCCGTGTGAGCCAACGCTGATGACCGGGGTCCCTTGAAGATCTGTTGCTCATTGTGGACCTGGAATGTGTCCTTCAGGTCCCTACACCTGTAGGGTGTAGGTCCTCCAATCACCTAAAGTGATGAGACTGGGTGAGAACCTTCCTGCAGTTCTCAGGTCTAACTGTCCAGGTGAGCCAGCCAGATGGTAGTGTGATGTTAGTTCTGACTGATTGCCTGAAAAACACAACGGCTCCTGGCAAAGTGGAGTCTGGGGCCTTGAAACTCAAGTAATTAGCTGTGCGCCCCTAAGCTAGTCACTTTTCTCTAATATGGAGCTTCTCTAATTCCTTCATTTGTAAAATGAGAGACTTGAATCTGATGGTGTTTGGGGGTCCTATCATCACAGACCCAGGATATAAAGCTATTATTTCATGACTGGGGAGATAACTAGGTAGCAAACCATACACTTACAGAGAACTTATGTCTCAAGCACTGTTCTAAGTGCTTTCTGCATGTTAACTCATTGCATCCTCATGACACAACTCCAAGAAGTAGGGGCTATGATCACTTCCTTTCGCAGATGAGGAAACTGAGGCACAGAGAAAGAAGATAAGGAACATATCCAAGGCCCCACAAGTCGTGGGTCGAGTTAGGATTTGAATTTAGGCAGTCCAGCATTAACCTTGCATGCTTAACCACTACACTGCTTTTCTGAAAGATTATCTAAGAAGGAATTTAACCTTAAGCCTTTCATATAGTAGTTACCTCACTTAATAACTACAGCAATCACTTTCAAGATTTCAATACTTTTCTTTTTCTCCAAACAAAATCCTAGCTAGAACTTTAATCCACAAGAGGTAAAAGCAAAGATAATCTGGTTTGGGAAGGGGAGGTGGTTTGAACGTTTTGCAAGAGGCAAAATTCCACCTGCTCATGAGGTCTTCTCTGACCCTCCCCAAATGCAGTACTGACAGAATCCCAGGCCTTCAAGGAGTGCTTCTCAAAATGCCACAGAGCATTATGTTTGTGTTTTCTAAAAATTAGTAATTTTGTATTCCCTGTTATTAATTTTTGTAATCCATCATCAGAAGAGTGTATCTTTTATGCTAACTGAATCCTTTAGGAAGTTTTGCTGCATTTTTTGAAATAATTTTTATTACTTCTAAGGATAAAGTTTTTTTCACCCTGTAAAGTAGCAATTCCAACTGTATAGTGTAAATCAGTACTGAAGATGCAATTTGATTTTTAAAAAATGCAGTTCCATCTAACATACAACTTTAGAAGAAGTCATGGAGCATGTGCCACGTGTAGAGCGATGGGCCACATAAAGGATGCTTCTGCCCTGGATCACCAGATATGAGAGTTCCCTCCTGTCAGTCCCCTGGAGCCTATCCCACAGGAGAGCTCAAACAGTTCTTTGTAAAAGTCAGTCTCTATCAGGAGTCCCTGTTGCTCAGGGCCACCTAACCCTGGCCTAGGAGCTGAAACCTCTGGTTTCCGACACTGACTCTAATAAACTTATTCTATGACCTTGGGCAAAGCATTCATTACCTTTTGTCGGCCTCAGTTTATTCATCTGTTTATTGAACCCATTTTGTAGGGTTAACTTTCCATCTCTAAGATCCTGTATGTCCCCCCTGGTCTGCATTATTCTTTAGGTACCAAGTAGACTCCAGATTTGAAATTTAGGAGAAAGAGGAAAAAAGTGGAAAGAACATACAGATATTATGTTCTCGTGATCAGGCCAAGTTTTACGACGTTCTTCTTAGTCTTTAATCTCCCCCTCTCCCCACATGAATTTCAGTGCTTAGGAAAAAGGGAAGAGGTCACTGACACCCAGAACACTGCATCTGGCTCAGAATCTCAGTGTCAGCAAACAGGCTATGGGGGCAGTGGGTCAACCCTGTCCATCATGCTCCTACACCCTAGGATGAGGGCCTCCCAGACCCTGCTGGGGCCCCAAATAGTCAAGCTGACTCTAGGATTCAGCCCAAAGAGATTGAGAAAATTCAAAGTTAGGTTGAGCGGTGATGTGGGCTGGGTCTTGGGGTGGTGGGAGGGATAAACATGGAGAAGGCTACACATCTTGCCACGGTGGCGGGACAGGAAAATGGCAGGAGGAAGGCACCTGACAAGTCCAAAGATCCCCTGAACTTTGGCCAGGTTTTCTGAGCTGGGGGTTGGGGCGGGGTGGGGGGGTGGGTAGGGGAGAGGGAGGAGGCAGGGAAAGGGTTAAGCTACTCCCAGTCTCATGCCCCTAACCTCAGGCGGTGCTGAGGGTTCCTGCCATTTACAGACCACTTTTCCCAAGGGTGCCACAGGAGAAGAAACCCACCGATTTGGCCAGGTATGCTCCACCTCTACCCCCAAGACAGACCCATTGAGCTGAGTACTCACTTCCTCTCTGGAGAAAGGATGCTACACCCCAGTACTTCATCTTGAACTTGGCAGGGTCCTCGGTGTCTGTGAAGGTGCCCACCATGTCTGCACACACGTCCCAGTTGCTGCAAAAGCCAAAGGGATCCTGAGCCAGGTCCGGCAAAGGGCTTCCTCCCTCCATCCCACCCCGGGTGTTCCCTTCCCTCTGCGATCAGGGTTTGGCGCTCAGCCTGGGGGACCCTGGAGCGCCAAGAGCTCTGCTGCCCAGCGGCCACTGACTTCAAAAGACGGACTCGGCCCTTGGCCGTGGCGCTCATCTGACCGTTCTCGTCCACTGAGAACTCTGCGATGATATTGTCCTGCAGAAAGAGGCCCTCGGGGTCCTTCTTGGCCATGGCGTACCAGAGTCCGGCAAACTGCGAAGAGATGAGAGCAGGTTTGGTGTTGGCAGTGCACAGCCGGCCGCCGGGAAGAGGGAGCGAGGAGACCGGGGCCACCCGGGCCGACACGTACTCGAGCCTTATCGAAGTTCTCCTTGACTCGGAAGCTGCTCACCCGGCAATCGCGCTCGGCCCTGGCGCTGCCCAACGCCGCCAACAGCACGAGCGCCCACACCCACTGCATCTCGCCCAGGAATCCGCCCTGCGGGAAACGCGCGTTGTGAGCGCGGGGCCGCAGGACCACTCGGCCCGCTGCGGTCGCCCCCACAGCGCCCGTCCCTACCCTTCCCCGCGCGGGCGCCGCTCTTTCCCCGCGCGGGCGCCGCTCACCACCGGGAGACGCGCGCAGACCTGGCCGGGGCGTCCGGGCGCGCGGGGAGCGAGGGAGGCGCTTTATAGCTCTGCGGGGAGGGGGTCGCGCTGTCGCAACCGCGCTGGGTGAAAGACCAAGGGGGGAGGTGCGGGGGCCGGCGGGCCAGCACTTGCATAACGCGCCCTGACTCACCCGCGCCCGCGCGCAAGGAACGTCTTTTTGGCCAGAGCCTCACCTCTATTGCTGCCGGGGAATTGGTGGAGCTGCAGCGCGGCGTGGCCTCTAGGCAGCCCAAACTCTCCAGCGGCGATGAGCCGCGGGAACAAGCCCTGGCCTAATTATCCAGCGCTTGTGCCAGTGCCCGCCAGCTGCGGCCTGGGGTGGCCTTGGGGCCTTGTTGCTCTGGCCGGGGGCCCAGGTCGGTCTGGCGGGAAAATCGTGGCCTCCCAGAGCGAGAGGACCTATGATGATGCTGTCTGGTGCTGTCTGGTGCGTCAATGACCCGGCCCTGGCCGTCCCAAATTGGCCCCTCCGTCCTCTGAGGGCCGGTTGTGCAGGGGTTTGGGAATATTTCAGCCAAGTAGTTTTTCATGTTATAAAGGATGTATTTTACTCTCTTTCAGGAGACTTGTGGTGCTCTCTGGGTCAATATTTGTTCTTTAGTTTCAACATCTTTAGAAGCATTAAAACCCTCCCTGTTAAATATTCTCCAGAAACGCAACATTGGTCAGGACAGGAAATATTTTAGCAACCTCCACGGTGGCCTACTTTGTGACACTCCGGCTCAAACCACTTTGAAACACGCCTATCGATTGTTTATGGTACGATTTTATTTCAAAGCCATAGTAGAATTCTGTTTTATTTTCAAAACAGCTAAGGTGAGTTGGCCAAGGAGTGGGCAAGAATGGGGAGGTAAACAAAACTCTACAACCAATGTCAGTGGTCAATTAAACGGCAATGCTGTGACTATGTAATTTTGCGTGATGGCTCGATTTTCTGACCTTTTTTTTTTTTTCTGTTTCCATTCAGAGTTAATGATTTGCTTCAATCTGATCAAAGCAGTCAGAAGATGCAGCTTTTGACTAAATGAGAATTAGTGGTATGACAAAGAAATATCTTTTTGTAAGATTCCTTCCATACAATATCAGTTGTGTCTCCACAGCCCAAATTGGAAAGAACTGAGATGAATTTGGGTCATTTTATTGACATTAAATAAGAGAGAGTGGGGGAAGAGAAGGGTGGATGCTGAATAGAAGTTGATGGTTCTCAAATCAGTCCTTTACAGGGCTTTGAGGTTACTTCTGAGCCTGCTGAAAAGACACCTGTGATCTCACTCACCTTCCTGTTAATTCTTTAGACATCTACCTGCCTGTTTTTTGCTTCCACTTTGCACTCTGCTTCTGCTCCCCATTTGAGTCTCTTGTGTCTCTTGAATGCCAATGATGATGCATTTAACTCCTTACTGCCACAGAACTAGGAAAACTCTGTCTCTGGCCAACCAGTTAACTAGAAGATCTTCTGGTGAGGCCAGTTTTATCACAAGATGTAGAATCCCAAACAGCTCAAGTAAGGTCTGCTCCAGAGCAGCTTCTGCAAGGACCATGTATGTGGCCATACATGTGGTAGTATCTATGCACCATAGGTGAGAAAGGACTTTAGAGCATCTCTCAATCTCCTGTCCAATGCTTGGATACCTTCTCTGAAACTCCAGAGTAGAGGCCTTCCAGCTTCTCTTCCAACACCTCCAGTGATGGAGAACTTCCCGCTGAGACCAACGGCATTTGGACAGTTACTAAATAAGGCCAGAAAAGTTCTCCTAATACCCCCAGTCCTTTCAATCATTTCTCCTACAGCATTCTCATGGTCTTTGCACATACTATATATGTTGAATAAATGTAAGGGGTTTTGGTGCATTTTTACGGTGATGGTTTTTGCAGCAACATGTTTTATTTATTTGTTAGATGCTTAAAAGTTGGTGTAACTTGCCGCGACCTGCATGGCTAGAGGGTTAATATACCTGAGAGGGGGCGATGGAAGGATGGAGAAAAACACAGAGACAGTATATACAAAAGCAGGGCCAAGTGGGACACTGCACTTTGCTTAGATACAGTGACCCGAGCCAAGCTCAGCACGTTTATTATATACTTTTGAAGGTCGAGGAGGGAGTGGGAGTCTTCTTCTCAGGACTTGAAACTTGCTGGCAGCAATAATTTCCCAAGGCCTGTCTGTACCTGGTTATCTACGCTAAACTAGAAGCAGCTGTCTGTTAACTGTTTGGCTTCTCTGTCTTTGGCAGATCGATCAGTCAAGCATGCTTTGCCAATGCTTCAATCAGGTCCGGATCCGATCTGGCTCTCTACATCTCCCCCTTTTTTATTTTTTAAGCGCAGATGAAGGTTGCTCGCTTGGAGGTCTTGCAACTGTCCCTGGAGGACTCGGCACCTGACTGAGAATATACAAAAAAAGAATTAACAGCAACAATAGCAGACTAAATAAGTACCAAGCAGTATGTTTAAGAAAATTGTAGGGGTTAAAGCCTCTCAAATCATCTAAAATTTTCTCAGCCAATTTTGCAGGATCCACAATAGAGGCTCAACTGTTTTGGATGTCAAGAATATGTTTATGAAGATCAGCCACATCTAGACTGGCATTATTGTCAGTCCATATCCCTTGTAAATGTAATTTTTTTATTCTAATCCTATTCAGAGGCATTTTAGTCTCTGAACGTGTCCCGACCAACACCTCAATTTTTCTGCCTCCTCCCTACATTATTTCCCTTCAGAGATTTTATTCTCTTAATATTAAGGGGATGTTGAGGGAGGAAGGTCTGTCTTCTGTAACTTCTTCAAAGCTGAGATGGGGCTGTAGTCCCTGCCTACTGGGAATAAAAATCTCTGAAAGCCTATTCTAAGGGCCCCAGAGGCAGACAACGTGAGGTCGTTTCAGCATGTAGAAGTCATAGGAAGCCTTATAACGTAGAAGATATAAATTTACTAAAAAGATAGAAAAGACAAATCAAAGTTAATAGTAGAGGTAATTGACAATGAAGTTACTTTTCATGGCAGTTTGTTAATTCCAGGTACACAAAAGTTCTCTGATTCCCTGGGACATGCGGACTTATCTGGTTTCCGGAACAAGAGCTTAAGATCTTCCGTGGGTTCACGGGAATGGGTTGCTCTTTCAGGTTTATTTTCTGGAGGAACCTGTGAGGACTTATAAGAAACTGGTTTAATTCAAGATAAATGTACTCAGTTGTTGATTCCTTGTAAGTTGACACCAGTTGGGAACTTAACAGAACTTTGTAGGGCCCTTTCTGTTTGCCTTGAGGGCTGACTTTTTATTCCTGCCGCTATGCAGTTAGCATTGGAGAGAGGCCCATGGATGGATCAAGAAAGAGTGGATAGCTCTAATATCTAGTAAAAATTCAGTTTTTCCTTCTTGCCATGTTGAGGGTGACCTGAGGTTTCACTGTTGTGATCGTGGTGGATTTTTCTCTAGGACTGGAGCTTGCAAGCGCGTGAGCGTCTGTTGTTAGAGGAGAGAGCAGCCACTACATGAGAGACTCGCTATGTGGGGCGAGGGCTTATGAGGTCCACCCCTTCCCGGCTTCCCAGGGCTGGATGGACACTTGCCCTTTTAGTGCCCTTCCTTCTGCAGTTTGCACATTGATTATGCCTCAGTCCCAACAATGTCACTCATGGCCAATAAAGCTCGAGGCCCTCCAGGCCTGCTAGGATTTTATTGCCTAGGGTCACCTCGAGATGGTTCCTGTATTATGGCAGCTACAATTTACACCCTTTTTGTACTTTGCTTTCTTCTTTACCCAGTCCCAATTATTGGACACCTTAAAGACCTCTGGCACCAAGGCAACCTGCAGGGTTGGGGTTTAGGCCCCAACTTTTGGAGCTTCCTTTGAATGTCGGGCACAGACAAAGTTGTGAAATGTATAGCTAGGAGTGTTTGGCCCTCAGACTTTGGGCTAATGTTAGTATATTCTCTAAAAGCCTCAGAAAACTGGTTAAGGCAACATAAAACACAGAAATTACTTTGATTAAGCATACAATCCTTGTTTTCTACTCGGAAAACTTTTCCATAACATCAGTAGCAGACTAATAGTCTAAGAAACATTAAAACACAAGTTTAATTTTGCATTAGCTTACTTTTGGCATTTAAATTTCCAATCTTGTTTAGCTTAATCACATAAAATGTCCTCTCAGGCTTTCTCTTCACAAACCTTCTATTACTTTCCTTATTCTTTCAGTTTGCCTCTTCTCACTTATTCAGAAATAACCAATTTTAATACGAACACCTTTCCTTTTATTTCCTTCAAAATAAATCTCTGTACTTTATACTTTCTGTTACCAAAAACATACATTTTCTTTTCCATCATAATTAGAATTTGTAATCGAACTGCCATATTACATATAACACAGACAAATATAGATCAGAGGCCATGCACATATTCATATTTCCCCATCATCAGTATTTGTAACTTCCCTGGGGTGCCAACTCAGTCAGTTAAAGTCCATTCCTGAATGTCCTCTCTTCCCCTAGCCTGCTGATCTCTGTGAGCCTCCCTCTCTATTTCTTGCTCCTACTCAGGAGGCAATGGTGGTGGAGGAGCAGAAGGCGGTGGAGGAGCATGAAGGTCTTCATACTTCTCCAAAGTCCTTTGCAGCGTAGTAACCAACTCTTCACCACCTCCCCGCTGGGAGTCTTTGATCCTCTCGAGTGGTATCAAGACCATCCCTTATTAGAGACCATAGAGAAAATGTGAAAATGGGGATCTTGTCAGGCCCTTCCGAGGTAAAACGTCCTCGTAATTGCTTTCCTATTTTTTCCCAGTTCTGACTATTTACAATTTCCTCCTCTGGGAACCAAGGACAAGTTTCTTGCACAAAATGTAAAAATTCTATTAATTGCTCTCCTTTTACTTTACAGCCTCTAGCTCTAAGCATAGCCTTAAGCATCCTACATAAAGGATCCTCTCTTGGGATCCAGAATTCTCCATGTTTTACACCTAGTGAAACCAATCCACTCTTCACTGTACACTTACCTTTAAGTGTTGGACTTGGACGTGTCCTCCCAGCAGTGTCCTTCCACCTGGGTGGATGAATGACATTTACAATAAATAGAGTCTTCCCATCAGCAGGAGGGTGGAGTTCCCCCTTACTCAGGCCCCACGTTGAGACCTGCACGGCTAGAGGGTTAATATACCTGAGAGGGGGCGATGGAAGGATGGAGAAAAACACAGAGACAGTATATACAAAAGCGGGGCCAGGTGGGACACAGTGACCCCAAGCCAACCTCAGTGCATTTATTATATACTTTTGCAGGTCGAGGAGGGAGTGGGAGTCTTCTTAGAACTTGAAACTTGCCGGCAGCAATAATTTCCCAAAGCCTGTTTGTACCTGGTTATCTATGCTAAACTAGAAGCAGCTGTCTGTTAACTGTTTGGCTTCTCTGTCTTTGGCAGATCGATCAGTCAAGCATGGCTTTGCCAATGCTTC